TGAATCTGGAAGTATCTGGCGGTAGTGAAGACCCCGCTGCAGCCGCCGAGCCAGCTGGCCGAGAACCTGTTTGATTGAGTTATACAGTAATAACTTCGACCGTATATCTGGGGCGTCATCTCATCTGCAGTATCAATGTCTGAAACAGGTGAGGGACAAATATTGCCCTTTTTTCCGTCACTCTTGGCAGGATTTGCAAGAGCTGTCTGAACACTTGTCTGGTCTTTATTTGGAAGCAAACACACACACACACACACCTCTTCATCCCAACCAGTGTTAGTACAGCCAGCATGGCTTTGCATATTTGAGATGTGCTGTGGTGTTCATAATTAAGCTCTCACTGGTTTAATAAAACACCATGTTAAATCCGTGTGTTTGGTTTTTTAATTAGCTGAATTTAGAAACCCCCAGGCTCTCTCAACCTCGGCTCAGTAGGTTTTTCTAATCAGGGATTGAGAGAGTAGACCAATGTTCAGCGGCTAAAAATACATTTCAGGTTCCTTCTTAATGACATGATCAATTTTTCATTTGATTCAAAGCTGTGAGTGGGAAAGGAAAAATGTTTTCCCACAACCATTTCTTTTTATCCGAATGCGTACATTCATAAAAGATTAGCTGACAAACACTTTCTGGTCTTTTTGACACCTCGGACTCCAAATGAATAATCAAATAATAGCAAAACAAATCTTTTAATCAAGAAAGGAATCGACAGATTACTGGATAATTGCTAGTTGCAGCTCTAGAAATGATCATTGAAAAACAATCTTGTGTTTCATATAGTTCTAACAGAAAAAAAAAAGTCAGTTACAAAGATACCGCCTTAACTTTCTGCAGGGTTTGCTGTCACACACAACTGTACCCAGCATGCAGTCTGCCTCAAATTACTACAAAGGCTGCTGAGAGCTGTTTGTGTTTGCAGTTTGATATGAGAACTGATATCCTGATAACCCCGTCCTGCCGTCTGCCCTCAGTTAGATAGCAGTGTGGCCTGTTGTTCCCTTTTAACAGCCCTGAAAGGCTATCAGGACCTGCTGCTGCGACGATGAGCGCAGACGGGCGGGCAGGGGAAGGCTAATTGTCGCTCTCTCTGATGCTAATGTCCTGCTCATAGACGGACGCCAGGTGACTTGACTCAGGCTCAGTTCCAGACCACGCCTGGGCGATTATCTCCCTAATGAGCCAAACAGGAGTCTGTGATAATCATGCTGCCTTTTATCTAGAATAAATGAAGGCGATCAGCATATCTAAAGATGTATATATGGGGAGAAATAAATCTTGTAGCTGTAAAATGTTTGTTTTATTTTATCCTTAGGAAACATAGATGGGATTGATTGCTGCCTTCCAGATCATATCAGGATCTGTTGATCTAAGCCCTGTTCTGAACCCAGCTGGGTCCACAAAGCTTATCACTCATTCATTTCGTCCCATTCATAAACTGTGTTAGCATGTGAAGTGTAAGTGGTGCCTTTAGGTGTCTCCTTTTCATTTAAATGGTGTGTTTAATTCCAAAGTCATTTTTTAACTATTTATGACACATATCTCTAAATCCGTATTGTGTTTTGATTGTTTTACTTTAATTTCATTCTGGATATACTTGTATATTTAAGGCAAATCTCAGAAAGGGGCCACATATGCGAGCGTACATTTATCTAGAAAATCCATAAAAGTGAGTATGAGTTCTGTGACCAATGCTGTCTGTGTAACTACACTTACAGGGTCCTTAGAGTGTCAATAAGTCATTGATCAACGCCAAATATCCTCTCATTTCTGTTTTAGACTGCAGGGTTTCCTCCTCCAGACTAAAACTAACACTAATAGTCGACCTGTTAGTCTACAAAACCGTACTGTAGCGCAGTATGCTATTAAAGGGCAGCTACAAACTTCCAGTATTGAACTCGGGTCATCTGCTGTCCTGCTGCAGGCGGCGTTGGACCACAGACAAAGCTTAGAGGAGAGCAGGCCTGTCACTCAAGCCACAGTAACCATAGCAGCAGTGTTAATCAGCTAGTGTTGAATCTTATTGCCTGTGAGATCTGTGGCCGTGCGTCACTGGTCTGGCCTGGCCTCCTTCGACCACAGTCCCTGGCTGACGTGACTGCATTGTATTTCCCACACACACACACACACACTACTGACCTGTCTGTTAGCACCACTCAGCCCTGCAGGCACAGGTGAAACATGTGACAAGTGTGAAAGCAGGGTGAGGAAAGAATGTGTGTCAGTGAGGATGGAAAAGAGCAAAGAAAAGAGACAAATATCATGAAAGTGTTTGTGTACATGGCTTTGGTTCAGTTCAGACCGATCTCGCTGTCGAAGTAATGCCTCACCTGCTGCAGTGTGTGTGTGTGTGTGTGCAGTGTGTGTGCGCA